TATATATATATATGTAAGATATGTAGCGATAAATAATAAGTTATATAAAACGATGTTTAGTTTTTTTTTAATAAACATTATTCCACATCTATTACTAATGTAATCTAATCTCGTACTAAAGTTGAACGGCCGGTTTAACGTTAAAGATAACTTTCGTCTGTCGTGATTCGTTTACGTAATATCTTTCTCTCTCTCTCTCTTTTTCTATGTTAAAAAGGGAAAGCAAGGAATCCCGTAATATCGGGACTGTTCAACAAGCTTAAACTTTATAGCATGCGTAACATGCGTTAGAGAAAGATAGATATATACATATGTGAATATAAGATTATTGAAACGTCTTCCGTAACCGCAAAATAATATATTACGCATTCTTGGTAGTACCTATGGTTCTTGGACAAAAGCCATTATGCTAAATCGATGAATTTTTCTTTTTTTTTTTTTTCCATAAAATAATAGGAAAATGTTATTTTAAGAAATGTTTTTAATAAACGAAATAACAACGACGACAAATTTCTCATCATTTTGTCAGATGATAATACGCGATTGTATCTTTGTATTTTTTTTTTTTGTTTTTTAACTCGAAAATAGCGGGATCAGGGTTGACCTTGAGAAAAAGGTCAATCCAATGTACATCGTTTCGGAACAAACTCGGTTAAGAAAAGTTACGGTTATGCGTACGATAATAAATGCACGCTTACTTTAGTTAAATCATTAATTATATTATTATTATTATTATTATTATTATTATTATTATTATTTGATGTTATTAATGATTATGCATAAACACACACACGCATACACATTCGTGCATCCCATTAACGTATTATAATAGAAGAGGAAGAAGAGAGAGGGATGATGTAATTAAAAAAATTACAAAAATAGAAAACATAATTGATTAAATAATTCACGCCATTAGTTTCAGCGTTAGGCACTTGATTATTTGATTAGGATGTTATCAAATTCGAATAACTTGAGCTTTTGATAATAAGTTAGATGTGAGTTAGGCAAAATGAAACACGCCAGGTGAACAAAATTAGATCAACGATTAGGTTGCTTGATTTTTTCTGCAATTTTTATTTTTTGTCGTTTTTACCTTTCTTCTATTTAAATAATTAATTAATTAAAATAATTAAAAATAATAATAAATAAAAGAAATAATTAATTAAGATAACAAACGTGAGAACATGAGAAGTTAGATAGAAACGGAATTTCGCGAGTTTCGTTTTCCAAGAAACGTACGTGTCCCGAGAAAAGTTTCAACCTTTTAGTTGGAAAGAGTGTGTGTTTCAAAGAGAGAAAAAGAGAGAGAGAGAGAGAGAGAGAGAGAGATAGATGAGAGTGCAACAACAGGTCGGTACAGTCGTCACAAAGTTAGCGGAACGTCGCAAATAATTTTCACAATCTGTTGATCGCTCTAAGGGGCTGGTCCATATTTTTTCTGGAACATAAGACCGTTGCTGTGCGGGCAATCATTTTCGCGATCTCTCTCTCTCTCTCTCTCTCTCTCTCTATCTCTTTCTCCCTCTCTCACTCTCTTATCTTTTTTTTTTTTTCTTTTCTCGGGAGTCACCGACGTAGATGAGAACGAAACGAGCATGGCATTGCATTCTTTTCTCTTATATGTATTCATACGAGCACCTCTTACCGAACAAAGTTCTCTCAGTTCATCTTGGAAAATATGAAATAATAATTAAATGAATTTGTAAAATTCAAAGTATAAACATTTACATTGTTAACATTTCTCACTAATAAATTTAATATTTAAAATACAATTAATATAACACTAATTATGTAGAATAAATGTGTCATCAGTTTTGAAAATAATTGTAAAAATAAAGAAAAAGTTTGGACGATAAAAGATTCATAACAAAAAAAAAACAAAAGCAAAAATCAAGCAACCCACAAATAATTTCGTACCCCATGGCAAAAGCTCTATATATATATATATATATATTTTTTTTTTTATATTCTTATTTTTTCTCTTTCATTTTTTGTTTTGTTCTTTTTTTTTTGTTTTTATTTTGCAGGCTTTCCATCTTGTTGGGCGCGAATGCCTAAACTCACCGATCCTCTTGACGTGGACGTCTCGATTGAAGGAGACGCTTCTCTCGGCGGGCTTCCACCCAGAGACGGAAGCCCCGGTCGTTACGGGGGGTAGTAAATGGGTGCTGGAAGGGTCGTAGGCCTCTCCCTTTCTCAAAGAGTCCGAGCGCTGAACCTCGAGCATCTTTCTGCCTTTATGCTCCCGATCATAACACACAGCTGGATAGCACTTTCTCGTTTTCGTTTTCTTTATTTTTTAAAACCCTCTCTCTCTCTCTCTCTTTCTATCCCTCTCTCTCTCTCACTCTCTCTCTCTCTCTTTCACTCTTTCTTTACCTATTATTTCTATTCCCTTTCTTTATTTTCTCGCAAACGTACCCCTTTTTCTCCGATCACCAACCTGTAACCCAAGCAAAGCTGTGCACTTAATATTCTTCGATCAATTCAATCGAGATTTTTTGTTTGTTTGTTGATGAATGACTTTCTTTTGATTTTTACGATGATTACATATGATATGATACATATTTGTGTATATGTGTTGTGTATCTTTATGAATAAATATATATATGTGTGTACATGCATTTTATTCATTTTTCGTCTCAATGAAAATTTCCTATCGAAAGGATATGTGAAGTTCATAAAAGCGACACGTACGTCATGTACATATGTGTGTGTGTATGTATGTTTATGGGTGCATATGCGTATCTATATACGTGTGTCAAGAATCTTAATTGAGTCGAGACCAATACGAGAGATCGAATTCGTTCTAACCAAAAGAAAAAGACAAATAGAAATAGAATGATGAACAAGAAGAAGAAGAAGAGTCGGTGATATGCTCGGTAAGCGTGACGACGATCATCATCACGACGATGATGTCGCATGATAAAGATGACGATTACTTTTCTAACGATATTTTTCAATGAATATGATTCATTCGTTTAATTATCCAATGGTTAAATACGAATGAAAGGATAAGAAAGATGTTGGGATTATCTTTTACAACGATCCACGACGCCGTCTGTCAATTTCGATATTTAATACTTTCAGAAATTTATTTATTATAATTTTTTCTAAATTTTTCTAATGTTTTTTCGCTTTTTTGTCGTTCAATATTCAAATAGAAATAAATTGATAAGGATTATCATTTGAATACAATCTTGGGAAAAAAAAAACACAAAGAAATAATTACAGAACTGGAAGAAAGTGTAATATAAAAACAATTCAGATATGACATTTTTAATCCTTGATAAATCTCAAGGTCAGACGTTTGACCACGACCCGATGGAAGGAGGGAGAGGGTAGAAGAGACCATGACTCAGCAACTTTATCAGTTCTCCAACACGTGAAAGAAGCGACTTTTAAATGAGACAATTCGCATGAGGGTTTATTCACGATCGGAGGATTAAGATACTCCTGGCGGGGGCCTCTTGGTAGCCATATTTGGCGAAGAGATTCGCGAGGGAGGACCGCCCCCCCCTCCTCCACCTCCTTTCACCTTCATCCTTCGCCCTTCTTTATTTCTTTTATTTATTTCTCCTTCTTCCCCTCTTCCTCTTCCTCCACCTCCTCCTCTTTCTCCAACTCTTTTTCTCGATGTCCTCGTTGTTGGTTCGTCCACTTGTTGTTTCGGTGCCATTATAAAAGTTCAATTTTGTACACTTTCTTTTCTTTTTATCAAAAACTAATTCTGTATTTGTTATAACATATTGAAGAAAATTTTTGTTTGACGACAAATTTTTGTTTTTAACCCTTTGAGTGTTGAATACTTTTAACCAAAATGTTTTTTGTAGGAAGAGAATAATTTATTAATAATAAATTATATTTAATAATTAAAGTGTTTTTTCTTTCTGTGTGAATATAATTTAACCCCTTTCAGCAGCAAGTACTTTGGAAAAAAAAAAAACGGCAAAAAAAATCTTTATAAAATACATTTCGAAACATCTTTCCTTCCGGATAAAATATTCTTCCTTTTATGAAATATTCTTCGAATCATTCTTTTACTTCTTTTTTCTTCTCTCTCTCTCTCTTTCTCTTTCTCTTTCTAGCATGCTCGTGAAACTAATGGAAAATTTATTTTGTCATAGTTGTTTAACGCGTGAGTTGTGTCGAGAAGAGGAACGCAACAGTTCGAGCAAATGCATCAGCGTTAATATACGTTGCGATTATCTAACGTATATCGCTTCAAGGACACTGATGTAATAAACAGTCACGTTTCTCGTGCACATGTTTAGCACCTTTTTCCATCGACTTTATTACACTACGTGCACGCAGTATGCAAGAGAGAGAGAGAGAGAGAAATAGAAAGAGAATTGGCGACAACGGCAACATCTACGACGATAGAAATCAAAGATGACCGCACACAAATATTATCCTTGTAAATGTTTTCGAAGAAGGAGAGAAGTCCGTGTTGAAGGAAAAAAAAAAAAAAGAAAAAAATATCTGAGACCAATGAGAATTTAATGAAAGACAACCGAACGAACAAAAGAAATGATTCAAAAAGATGACCAAACAAATTATGGGATTTCTCAACGACTTGTTTTTTGAAATCATCTAATTCTTGCCTTCTTTCTTTCTCTCTCTCTCTCTCACACACACACACACACACGTGTTTGTTTTTTTTTTTCATCACGAAACGAAAATTAATGGGAGACTTTGTTTTTGACTCGTTAGTTTTTCAAAAGTTCCTACACAAATTCTGACTCACGAAATGAATATACCTGTGTTTCTTTTTTTTTACGATCAAACTCTCGAGGAGTTGGAATAATAAAAATTTTGCAGAAATGTTTTTGCAAGGAAAACGAACAAAAATGAACGTGTTTTGTATTTTGAACACGAAGTTTTGGCTAGTCTCGTCAATATAAGGGAACGATCATCCTTCTTTGGAATCCTGCTGAGAGAAGAAAAACAAAATCGGTCTACGAAGACGACGGTATCGTTGTCTACAATCGGGGGAGAAGGGGGAAGAAGAATATGTTTAATCTAAAGTAAACAAAAAATATATTAGGTTATTTGAAAAGTAATTTCGTTTTTTTCTTGACACAATTTTAAAATGAGTTAATGCAAATTCGTAAATAACAACACGTGAAATCGTTAAGAGTTTATATTTATCAAATTAAACTATTTAAAACCCACTCGAAAATCCTAAGTTTAATCTTGAAACAAAAATTGTTTTTATTTTCACTAAAAATAAAATGAAATTACTTTTTGAACAACCCAATAAAATAAAATAAAAATAATTATGTATTTAATATAATACAATGATTACACGACAACGTTGTATTGAGCACACACGCAAACAAAATACACCTAACTATTATCAAATGAAATAAAAAAAAAATATAAATTAAATAAAAAGAATTATCTATTTAATATAATACAATTATTACACGACAACGTTGTATTGAGTACACACGCAAACAAAATATACCTAACTATTATCAAATGAAATAAAAAAAAAATATAAATTAAATAAAAATTACAAAATAATGCAATGTTACGATATAAATGTATTGTTATATAAAATTATAAAAAAAAAACAACAAAATAAAATAATTACCAATTATATTATCGATCGAACTTCGAATTTATGTAGGACAGGTGTGTACGGTCTCGTTGTTCCGAACAGACTGACAAATACTCTGATATATTTATTTACATATTCTCTTTCCACGTTAACATACGATCTCTATACTAATACAAAAACATTGAAAATATAACAACACATACCGGAACGATTCTGAAGTATATTATATACACGCATACATACATAACACCGAGTTATTTCTTTAGTATAATTTTCATTCGTTCTTTCGTCCTTCTCGTAAAAACCGGCCGTACGAAAGAAAGAACTCGTATTTTGCAAGATTAACGAACGGAACGAGGTAAAAGATCATCGCTAAAGTTGTATCTTTTCAAGAATTCTTATTATCTCTTTCTTTCTCACCAATTCTGCGAAACGTTCGTTCGTTAGCAACGGCCCAAAATCTCATCTGTTTACCCTGGTCTTTATTTTGACTCTTTTTCATTTTCTTTCTTTTTCTTTTTTTATAATTCTCTTTTTTTTTCACTGTTAACGTATCGAAATCGAATAATAAATTTTGTTTTGTCTTCTTCTCACCTAAGGTAAGAATTTTTCAAACTTATATGTTCATAAATCATTGCATTTACGATCTCGTCGTATCATTTTGTTTATTCCGATCTTTTTTTTCTTTTTCGTTTTTTTTTTGCATATAAATATGTTTATTTCTCGTTCCTGCACACACAAACACACACACACACATAGATATATTTTTTCTTTTTCTTCATACAACCTTTGTACATCTTTATCTCTTGTAGCACCGTTGTAAAGGTAAGTAGTAAGGGCGTGTTAAATCGTAATAAAACCGTTCGAGATTTGGTCACGGATATGTGCCTTGGGTATTCGCACGTCAGCACGAAACCAACCGGCGCCTATCTTCGTCCGGTTGCTTCAAAAGACCGAGTCGGACAAGCGAAACAAAAGAGAGGAAGTGAAAACTTAAGGGAAACGGAATCTGTGTAAGTAACAGGTAGAATTATGAGAAAGAAAAATACACAATTCTTGATCTCTTCATAAACGCGTCAATTACTACCGTGTGTGTGTTTGTTTGTACTTGAGTGTTATCAAATAATCGTGTTACCGTAATCGTTAATTCGAAATTTTATTTGGTACAGTATGGGACACTAGACAACATTTTGAATTCCATCTTGGTAGAAGAAATTGTTTCGTAATTTGATGCAAATAATATAATACTCGTAATTACTTCGTACTTTCATGTATCTTTGATTGAAATCTTTCGAATAACTAACTGAACCTTTTTTCTTTTCAATTGTATTTATTGCATAGATAATATTAACAATTTATTGCAATAGTAATTAATAACGATTTTCATTATTTTCTTGTTTTTTTTTTCTTGTTCATAGAATTGATCAAGTTTTCCTCGCAAAACTCTTACGTAATTGAACCTAACATAGTATACTGGACTTTATTAGCATCGAACTACGAACGGAATAGTCATTAACTTTCATGCTTATCAATCGATCTATCCGTAAGGAATGATTCTCGAACGAAATTCTAAGAGAAGATGAAGATAATTAATAAACTATAATCAAATGCTTCCTGCGGTACGTTTATTCGTTGAATTACTAGTCTTCTCTATACGATAAATATGCAACAATATGAAGAAATAAATGTATTAAAAAAAAAAAAAAAAATATAAGAAAACAAGGAAGGAGGAAGTAAAGAAAGTAAAAAGAAAAAAAAAATTAAACGATGATCGAGATGATCGATCTCGAAAAGCAGATTAAACGATTAGATCACTCAATAGTTGAACGTAACCATCACTACTACAACCACTACTATCATCATCATCATCATCATCATCATCATCACCATCATCATCATCATCACCACCACAACCACCACCAACCACCATCATCATCACTAGCACCACCACCACCACCACCACCACCACCACCACCACTAGCATATACTACCACCACCAGCACTATTACAACTATGATCAGCAACACCGGTGATTAAAGTGTCCGTTAACGCGAGTTAATTGATCTTTCAGCTAATGGGATATTACCCTAGGTACTTGATATTTCTGGTTTATCGAACGCCGCACCAGGAGATCTGATCTTAGTTAGGCGTACCACTACTCGACGTTCTACATAGTATACTTCGCGGCTTTTATAATCTATTCGCACGAGGAATAAAGTAAGAGAAACGGTAATGGTGGTAGTCGGTGCACGAAGAAGACGATGCACGGTTTCCCTTTCGATTAACGTTCAACGACGTTCTTCGACGATTTAATCGATCGTCGAATAGAAAACGCTCTCACGTATTACCTTCTTTTTCTTTTTCTTTTTCTTTTCTCTCTTTCTCACCAAAAGTAAATACAAACGTCAGCGGATACTTTTTTTTTTAAATCATTTTCTATTCTTTACATTTTTTTTTTACGCTTAATGTAATAATAAACGATGGTATTGAAAAAGAAAATTTAAAATTAATACAAACTTTCGAGAATATGCACACTCGTTGACAAGTATCACCGTGTTTACGTATCTGTGTGTATATAGGTGCATGAACGAAGCACTAACCATACTATCGAGGAGGTAGAGGAGGGTTATGCACGTACCGCGTGCAGAGTGTCTCGTCCCGCGGGAGGACGAGTACCACGACGATGACGGTGACGACGATGAAGAAGAAGAAGAAGAAGAAGAAGAAGAGAAGAAGGAGGAACACCTTGCACCGTGTCAGGACCCGGTGCGACGTAACAGGAACGATTATCCTCGATCATCGGATCGGAAACATCGATCCGGTTTACTCTGATCTCTTCCTACGTTTTTTTTTTTATTTCATATTATTCGTATTTAATTATTGAATTTATTTCATTATAATTAAATTCAATCGAATGATAATTGCACTATAAAAACTCACGTCCTCGAACTATATAATATATATATAAGATCACGCACGAGTTCGTATATGTATATAGAAGTGTGTAAATATATTTAAAAAAAATATATGTATATATATAATAGGTATGTTTGAAATTAATCCATTTGATTTGTATATATGCTGGGTGTTTATGAATATATATGTTAATGAGATTCACGAAAGATCGAATGTAGATCGAATGTAGGATCGAAATGATGCGAACTGTGTACGCACCGTCTTGTCTTATCTATAGTAGCCCGGATGGTGATGGGCGCACGGGAGAGAGTACCGCTCCGGCACGCACGTTCTCCGCCGAGCGCCGAAGAACTAATAAAAGCTGGGACCGAAGTTGAAACTGCGTAGGCCGCTTACTACTCCTTCCACTGCGTCCTACCCCACCGGGGCCCGATAGAACGAGAATGAGCAAGTGCGAGAGAAGGAAAGAGATTGGATGTTTAACGGGGTGGGGAGAGAGAGGATGGTGTGTTCTGTACAGAACGAATACCAACAGAGAGAGAACGGAGAATGTTACGAGTCTTACTTCGGTAAGGGCCCAATAAAAGATGTTTAGCGTCCCGACGCCGACGCAGAAATCGATGTAGAAGTCGATGTAGAAGTCGATGTAGAAGCCGATGCTAACGACGCCAACGACGACGATGAGTTTCAATCGTCACTCGGTCAAGGTCCCCCTCCGAAAACCTGCATTCACTGAACGAACATTTCCCCCCTCTTTTTCTTTCTCTCTCTCTCTCTTTCTGGTGAGTCCACGGACAACGCTATACTTGGTGCGAAACGAGCGTGAGGATCGCGTCACGCGAACAACAACCACGACGACCCACTCGAGTCATCGTCAAGATTAAACGCATCGAGCCTCTGGACTTCTTTGATAATTGTTTATTCCATTGGAAATTATTATATTATATATATATTATAATATTATTCCGATTGAATTTAAAACAATAATATTAATCGCATTAAGTTACGAGATATTCTAAATTTAGTACTACGAATAGAAATAAACTTTTATGCACAATTACGCATGTTTCAATGTTTTTCTTATATATTAGTGTTAAATATAGGGACAACTTGTAGAAGAAGAAGGTACGATGAAGAAACAGTAGAATTACGTTTGATCGAGTACCCTTTTTCCTTCGCCTAATTTTCCTTTTCAACGTGCTTGCCTCGACCCGAGTCAATCACAATGTTCACATCTCATAATTTGCCAACGTATTATCGTTCCCGTAATTGCCGTGTGCAACTAAATAAGTATGCCGAGATAGTGTACATACACATATATACATAAATAATCGAGCATTAAAGTTGATATACTTTTAGACGCGAATTTTCCTTGATGAAGAAGAGTACACACATTGTATCAAAAATGTTCTTGCACGTGAGTACGAGATAAATAGAGAGAGAGAGAGAGAGAGAGAGAGAGAGAGAGAGAGAGAAAGAGAGAGAGCGAAATACTCGTACATAGTACGATGAGATTATGTTCGTAAGTCGTTAGGACTCGTATGACGTATTACTATCCATGGAAAAATGGATGGGGCAAGCATACTCGATGTGTCTGACCGTATACTGGACGTTACTACTATCTCAACTTACACCAGTGCTTTTCAAACTCCGATACTTTGAAATATACGTATCAATTTTATTAGATTAATCTTTGATTTTACTTTGTAACAAGCTTCACCCTAGAAAATCATATCAATCATTATTATATATATATTTGTATTATTTTTAATGTAACATATTAAACATTGAGAAATTGGTTTTGTAACAACACTTCAACGAGATGATGATGAATTTATTTGTCATTCGTATTAAAAATATCTTACGATTAATTGACATTGTTTTATAACAACAACAACAAAATTGTGACTATCGTAAACATTTATTCTTATATATTAATAATAATAATAATAATAAACATCATGGGGGAAAAAAAAGAGGATATAAATTTCTTGAAAAAGTATGAAAACCACTGGATTGCAGCAACGAGTCTCAGATCGAGGACGTATGTAGTCTTAACGAACCTGTCCAAGTTGTTTTCATTAAAAACCGTCTATATAATTCTACGAGATCGAGCTTTTCCTTCCGCGAGAAGATTTTCGAGAAGACGATTATAATGATGATGACGACGACGACGACGACGACGACGACAACCTGGCACAGTAACTAAATTAGAAGGTATATCTTCGGTGTATCTTTCTTTCTTTCTCTTTTCTATCTCATCGTGTCGACCTTGAACTTGCCACTGATGCCTGGTGCTAATGAAGAGTACGAGACGGTCTTTTCATGATGGACAGTCCTCGTTCCTCGTCGTCTAATTAACCTGCTTTTGAGTACACCTCTCGTGAAGTGTTGTTTCTCATTTATGAAAAAAGAAGAAGTCTACGTATAATTCGAATGAACCTGATCGTTGATTAAAATAGTAACAGGATCGTAAAACGATGTTACAATTTTTATGAATTATTATATTCATCAAATATTTTATCATTAAATCTAATTTTTATAAATAATGTAAAAATAGTAGAGAAAGTAATGAATTGTGTTAAAGTTGAATGAAGAATATAAATATTAATGTAATTACATTGTAACGAAATGAAGATAATGTTTTATGAACCGTTAAGTCCATCAATAATGTCACGTAACAAAAGAGAAAATTCATCGAGCCAATGAAGAAAGGTATCCTTGGGAGGGATGTTGGTTGATGATCATGGAAGAGCTTCCTCTTAGAGGAACGTTCTTTATCGTCTCACTTTCTCCGTTCGAGTCACGTGCGAACGATTGGAATGGAGAATCCTGCACTGACGACGACGTTCCACAGAAGCGTGCAAGAGAGAGAAAGGTGATCGAATAACTTGAAAAAGATACGACTCATTCTCTGCATTTAAGCTTTCAGATTACAATTTGAGAGAAAAAAAACAACAACAACAACAAAATAGAAATCAATCTTTCGATTTGTAAATATTTTAAATAAATAAATAATTAATAGAACAAAAAACCAACGTAAGTTTTTTAGAATATTAGAATTCGTTTGAAATGATTAATTTATGAGAACAAAGTTAAGAATGATCTATGAAAGAAGCTAACGTAATCGAGAGTCAGGATATTCGAACTTTCCATGAAACGAGTAACAGGGTTCTCTCTAGGTAATGTATGCCATTAATAGCAACGATTTATACGCGGTATTATCGTTCGTTTCGCGGGACATTTATTGCACCTTCGCGTACCTGCAAAGTGTACTTTTAAGTGTATATGAAATTATGTATGTATGTATGTATATGCACGTACAAGGTATGTACGTAAGTGCTGATTATAGGCGAGGACAACGCCAAGAACGAGACGATGTTTGTTCGCAAATCGTTTTGTCCGGTTTTTTCTTTTTCGTCATGTGAGATTTTTTATGAATTAGTTGTGTTTCCGGTAAATTTCAATATCTCCATTATCTAAAAAGTTATAAATAAATGTAACAAAATAGGTGGTGCGAGTCGATGTTTCTAAATTGTATATTATCGCATAATTTCGAAGGATATCTTTGAAAACGAAAAAGCTCGCATACGACATTTTGATATTCTCACTGGCATTTATATTTATGTATATATGTATATGTATTACATATGTATGTACACGTATCTTATTGAGGTAAGAGTAAAGAGTAGGGAAGAAAACGTGGGACGAAAAAATGCTTGTTGATCAAAAAGAGAATTTATGTGAACGATGATATCTCATTTTTAGGCTTTGATCGTTGTGCTCATGCATCGAATTTATTATCTTTTTCTCTTTATTTCTCTGTTTCTTTTTTTATTATACTGTCTCTCACCTTGTTGCCAAAGGCTCACTATCGCGTGCGAGCAAAGTTTTAAAAGGTCTGCTCGCAGTATTTCAGAGACAGCGGGAGCGTTCTCAAAGATAGAAGGAGTTATGGCCGTTCAGAAACAAAGTCCAGATATTTACGAGTTCGACCACGTCACGATTGGATTTTGGTGCTTTACCGTATAGTCCTATTGTAAAAATGGTAAACAGAAAGGATTAACACTGACGTTAGATTACTTACAACAAAATATTCCATTTCCATCAATTTATCTAATCGAAATATTTTTTCTAAAAATGATCTTTAAAATGATGACATCGTTAAATATAAAATATGATTAAAAAAAATAGAAAATCAATTATAGATACGCGTTATTAATATGATTTACATACGTTCAGATATTAATAGAAAAATATATGTATGATATATATTAGGGATTCTATCCTAATTTTTTTTTTTTTCTACACCACTGTATTATCCTTCTTCTTCTTTCTTCTTGTTCTTGTTCTTTTCTGATACTCTTAGGACGCCGAAAAAAGAATCCATTAGGAAGAAGGCACGATTAAACAAAACGATCGTATATTTACTCGTAGCTCTCATCATTAATCACGTATTTCACCCCCTGTGGGTGTCTACTACTCGATCGAGCTCAACGTTCTTTCACAGGATATAATTCTTAAGAGAGATAGTGGCAAGCCCTTCTCCTACTACGTCCCTTTATCCGTTGTTATTGTGGTTCAATCCCCCTACCTCCCTTCCCCCCCCCCATACAGATAGATTCGCACGCGGGACTTCGACGACGAGCTAATCGAAACTCTCATCCCCCGTTTATGTCGTATCGACTCTAGTATCTTCAGACCCAACCATGCCAACTTACCTTTATCGAAATGCGTTTAGTCACGATTCGTTCGATTCGCTTGCCGACTATCCTACTTATTATACAGGGTGTCCTATTCCTTTACAATCTTCATTTCAATCCAATTACATTTTCTATTGAAATATTTTCTTCATCGATTAATATATAATAATATTAATTATTATTATTATATTAAACTTTTATATATTTTAGTAATAAACTATAGTATATATATTATAGTATAAAAATTAAAAATAATAATAATTATTATTATTATATTATATTCAGTCATTTACGTTAGAATTTGTTGATAAATTTACTCACGCATTTTTATAATATAATTAAATTAATTTTAATATTTTAATTTTTTTATTATGTAATTTAAAAATTTGTTATTTGATATGATTAATAAATAGAACACCCTGTAAGTTTGATTACCGTGTGGTCCATGTACGAGTGATCACAAAAAACAACTTGAATCCTAAAAGGTTTTTCTTTTTCTTCTTCTCGACGGGTACAAAAATAAATTCGAAAGATTCTAATTAAAATATCATCGTTGATCGATTTAAATATCTTTTAAGATAGATCTCTTTAAAAAAAAAAAAAAAAAAAAAAAAACATGCTTATTCTCTATTACCTACATACATGTGAAATATTATCAAATAATATTTCAATTTATAGAACCTTTATGAGGAAGATAACTTTTCAACTCGAGTACAAAGTGGACGATAATTATCGTTGGTGAAATACCGCATGGCATCTCGACCGGACGTTTCGAAAGAGGATAGAGGCGAGGATAATAAAAGAAAAGAAAAAAAAAAGAGCCCAAAAAGAAAAAAGAAATAAAATCAAATAAAAAAGGTGGATAATCCTTCCTCGGATAGGCAATTTGTCGAGAAAGAGAGAGAGAAAGAGAG